AAGATATTTAGAAGAACTACCTGAAAATGTCCTATTACTAGTGAAGTTTACACAATAAATAGTCTATTTTCCTTAGGAAATCAAACTTTGAAAGGTAATTTTAAAAGATTTGATTGTTCAAAGCTTTCTATGAGATCTTTTGGGGTCCTTGCAGAACAAAATCACTTGTCTATGTAAGCAACTACTCTATGTTCTTAAAAATGTACTTTGTGTTTAATATCATATATGGATATACTACTTTATACTACTTCATCTAGCAAAGAATATTTTAGATAGCAAGTAATATTTTAGAATCAACATATGAAAAGGATTGATTTTTCAGTAAATTTTTGCGTATTGTTTTCCTTCTTGGAAACTAATGCTCCAGTTGGGCATGGGTCTTGTAGCTACATGTGTGCTTAGCTTTCCCCTGTATTAGATTACAGAACTGTACTGGACATGTCCAGAAATCTGTGATAGACAGGTGCAAATTGCAAGTTAGCACTAAATTACATCACTGATTGCGCCTGGTCAGTGATATGAAATGTTCCTTCCAGGCTACTGAAAATATATTCAGCTGAGATTTGCTAAAACTCAGAGGTAGGTTATACGAAAAAGCTTGAAAATGTTAGTGGGAAATCGGCACAATTTTTGGGCTAATGACTTGCATTTCTGCCTTTCCTATCAGGACAGGCACACTGCTTTGAGAAATGCTGTACAAACATAATTTGAAAAATTATTTACATGGTTTGTGATCTTCCAAGGAAATACAGAACAGAAGCTAAGACAACAAAGAAGTGCTGTATAGTTCTTCCTCGTAGTCTTTACAACAGCTATTATCATTGAACCTCATTTGGAGTTAGGTCTTGGGTAATTTCTGTAATTAAATATTAAGCTTACTTTTGGAAAAACTTCTCTGAATTCAAGTGTAAGATTTTCTTTCTTGTTTTAACATGAAAAACATTAAAAAAACTAAGGAGTTTGGAGTCTTAGCGCATCACTCGTACAAATCGCTGTGATAGAGGTTATTCATCTCTAGTCTTTCTTTGTGTTTGTTCAGTTCGTTCTGATAGATAAATGCACATAAGCAGTTTTGCCTTTCCCCCTTCTAAGACATTTTTCTTTATTTAATTTTCTTTCTTTTAGAATTATTTTCAATAACCAGTATCTGGTTTTTCCTCTTCTGTTTCCTAACATGGTTTGGTTTCTTGTCTTTTGAACTTGCGCATTTTAAGGCTGTTGTGTGCCCCTGGTATAGTGTTGTTCGTGCTGCACAGATGAAAAAATGGGTGCTTGTGTTCACTACCAGGCTGGCTTTTATCTGAAGTTCTCAAAGGGGTCTGATGACTTTGTAGCACTGAGGACTTCACTGTCCTCAGTGTAAGAAAGAAGTGTAGTGGACAGGGAAAGGTCATAGGAGTTTCTTAGAAAGTAAGGTAAGAAATACAGCTTATATGGGAGTATCTCAATGTTGTACATGGATAACTTGATTACGCTTCTAGGCTTTTATAATAAAATATGAAATTCTTCTTGCTTGATTTCTCTAAAATATCTTTATATATTCTTGCTTCAGTGGTATCTTGATTTGCCTACAGAAAGCACTGGGTAGTGAAAGTAGCATATGGCAGCCTAGGACTGCAGTAATGGTGTCATTTGATTTCTTTTACTTCTTTAAAACTACTTTTGCATTTGAAAGGTGAAAACACTCCATAGGCAAAAGTAATTAAATAAACCAGGAGGTGCAAGTTAGGGTGTTTTTTTTCAAGTATGATGCTCTAAAAGGCTATGAGAAGCACTTATTTGTGTCGGTGTAATCTTGTTCTGTGTCTTTTTTATTGTGAGGAATGATTGAGGAACATCTGAAAAGAAATTTAAGGGGTTATTTGTTGTTTTCTCCACTCAGGTCCTATTTTCATAATCTTGTCATTACCAGTTCCTGTCCTTCTTTTGACCCCTCTTGAATAAAAATCAGCAGACATGTATCTATTTGAAAGATGTGTTTTGCATGAAAGATGCAAAATTTCTAAGATTAATTTTGACAGTTAAATTAGAAGTGGTCAACTAATATTTTAATTTCAATTTAAAAATTGTTTGCTTCTAAGTTACGCAAAATATGCTTCTTCTTTTTGCAGAGACGTGGAGCAATTTCCTATGACAGCTCCGATCAGACTGCGTTGTACATTCGTATGCTAGGTAAGCATACCAGTTTCTATATTGCAAAGTTCTAACTTTTATGATTGATTTAAATAATAACTTTTAAAATATTTGTGTTGAATTCATAAACTTATTCTCTTTCTCCTGGATAACATTTTGATTAGGTTCTTTAGAAGAGTTTGGATTGTTTTGTGTTGACTTGGGTTTTTTGATTGTTGGATTTTTTTTTTTTCTTTTTTCCTGAGTTAGGTATTGTGTTGGATGTCTTACTCCTATATTTAAAAAAAAAAAAAAAAGTTCTTGTAATTAACCTAAAGTGTTTGGTAGAAGTTAAGTTTTCTAAGTGACTCATGAATGACCTTTATTTCTGTGATGGAATTTACCACCTCTGCATGGTATCCTTCTGGTTAAAACTTTAGCTTAGGGAACATTTGTGTAAGAGTTACCACACACTCTTAAGAGCTTCAATAGGGAGGATATGAAATGCTCAAGGTGTTCTTAAAATAACTATATGATTTTGAGCAATATTTTTCTCATTAATCCTAGGAGGTGACTTGAGAAGGAGAGTTTAGTCAACCTAAGAATGTTTTCAGAATAGCAACTAGAGAAAGACTAAAGCTGAATTCAAATGAAAGCACAGTATTGGGAGGGGAAGACACCCAGGGGGAGACCCTCTATGACACTGAGTGCACAGAATGAGTTGAGGTCACTTGTTGAGAGGAGAAAGATGCAAAGCTCTCGCAGTTCTGGCTGCCGGATTCGGTACTTCCCGCACCTCTTCTGGAGGCTGCTGGTGGTGCAGATGGCGTGGGGACTGTGTATGTGGTCTAAGTCTGTTTCACTGCAAAATGATGCCACTTAATTTAAGCCATCTTGAGCTATGATTTTGCGTTGAAATGGACTATGAATGTGTTTGCATGATGTCTCTCACAGCTCGATGAACAACAGCTAGTGATTACTAATTCTTAACCATCTCCAACTCAATCAGCCATAACATGTCTTTTTATGCCCTGACTCTTTTCAGTTTAGTTGTATATTGTATGTGTTGAAGTCCCCAGAAATTCATAACTGCATTGTCTATGAATTTAGATTTGTAAGCTATATACATGTGTACACCTGTGTGTATATGAATTCATAGTCCTAACTTACATATGTGGGCATACGCCTGCATATTTGCATATAAATCTAATTTTGACTTAGCATCTTCACATTTTTGTTTTTCAGTTATTTTAATTTTTTTAAATTTGTGAAGTTGTTAATACTACAGTGCTGACTGTCTAATGAAGGATTTTTGATAAGATAATTTAATTACTTTGGAGATTTGTTAAGAGGAGGACAGAAGATGCTGACTTCTTAATGTTTACTGAAGAAGCTGCTGGAGGTTTTCTTGTTGTTGTTGGAAGTAGTTTTATTTTGCTTTCAAAACTTAAAATGAAGTAGTTAGGCCCATCATTTCTGCAGAAGGATATGTGATAATGCTCAAGTAATTCTAGAGGGAAGCAAAACATGATTTCCTGTAGTTTTTGGTATATGCTCCTGAACTGAGGGAAAAATCTCATTTGTCTGGAAAACCTTTAACTATTCTCATAGGCAGAACTTGAGAATATTCAGAATATGGTGTTAAGTAAATTAAATTTTCACTTGTTCTCTCACTGGAATTAATGATTACACTGTGTGATTGGTGCTTGTTATGAATAACATAAGTCTTGCTTGCTGGCATAACTCATTCGCGCTGTTCTAATTTGGGTGGGGGGAGGAGGGTACCAACAAGCAAACAAAAATTTGCTCGCTGGATGTTTCAATCAATATGATAAATTTGTAGTATTTTCTCACTTAGTAGAGATCGCTTGGTTCTCCCAAATGTTATGTACACTGTACTGTACAAATTAGCACCTAATTTACATATTTACTACTTTTGTGAGTGTAAATGGACTGTAGAAAAGACCAGCCTGAAAGCTGAACAGTTGGATGCATCTGTATATAGAAACATTCATATCAGAGTAGATTTAAGAGTTAATATATTCCATTAGAATTTTTTGCAAGAAATGTGAAGCATTGCATTTCCTACAGTATTGTGACGAAGTTTTGTTTTTCTTTTATTTATCTTAGTACATTTTAGTGGAGTGAGCTGTAAGAAATCCTCAGCTGTAACTTAATGGGAAGTTAGGCGCAGTCATGAGGGGTTTTTGCCTTTTACTTTCTTAGTTATTATTCCATAAAGAGTATATCTAGTAGTAAAATGTACCTTGATAAGGTGTTTATTTTAGCAGACCAAAAATATAAAGCTAAGGATATCTAGAATACCTCCTCCCTCTGCCTCTGTTTAGCAGTGCGGACTGTAAAGTTGCTTTATTTGATTTTTTTAAGCTCTTTCAATGGGAATCCAATGGAAATTAATTTATTCCAAGTAAATTGGAATTCCTGTGGTATAGCAGTGTTACCGGGTTCCACTTAAAAGATCAAATTTTAGGGCTACACAAAATAAACAACCCCTAACTGTCTTCATCAGTGTGTCGATATAAACAAACAGGGTTGACTGTAATGACTCATCTGTCATACCCCATTCCCAAAATATACACTAAGCCACTCCCGAGTGGCTTATTTACTATTTTAAAATATAGATACAGATGCAGCATTGTAGAATTTTTCTTTTAAGACCTTGGAAGGGCTAATACATCTGCATCACCTCAGCTACTACACCCCTCAGCTACTTTTCTCAGCAACTATGAGGAATTCTCAAAGTATCTTGTAAGTGCTTCTGTGTAATCTTGTGTAATCCTTGATTTGTTTTCCTCTTATTTCCTTTTCTGATTTCTTTTTCTTGCTATTTTCTATTGCCTGAAAGTTTTGCTGCTGTGCATGGAGTAGAAAGTGTGGGGCACTGACTGCTTGTATTGGTGAGCGTTCACCTCTCAACAGAAAGGGGAGCATTTTATGCTCCTTTAGAGAGATTTTGCTCTCCTTTAGAGACATTGGGGGAAAGCTACTGCATGATATAGGTGCACGCTCCTCTCCTGTAGCAGTTATGTCGCATTCAGTTTGCTTTAATTCTGGCATATTCGGCTGACCTGTCATCTGTTTCTTCAACAAATTTAATAGGAACTTTACTCTGTGAAGCTAGTAATTCTGTCTGGAAATCCTGCTCTTCAGAACTTCATGGCTTTGACTTGGGTGCTTTACCTTGAGGTGGCTGTCGTAATTTCTGCTCCCAGCTGTCCTCCGTGATCTCTGAGGTTTCTGCCCCTGCTCCAGAAGGCCTCAGCTCCCCAAGCAGCTGCTGCATTGTTACTGTGCCACACTGGAGCGTTAGGGTAGCATGAAGTATGTGCTGTGTAACCCTAACGGGCAGGGATGTCAGCTGTGGCATTTCAGCTGCCTCGTAAGTATCAGAGCTGTCCTTGCCCTGTAAGCAGGAATCTGAGAGAGGGGCAGGAACTAAGCGATCTCTTTCAAGGTAAGTTGTTACAGCCCTGATTCCTTTCCGGTTTTCAGTTGTAGCTGCAAACCTCCCACTTACGTTCATTCTTCCATGATTTATTTAGTCTTCAAATGAGTTTCTGCCTGTGTGACCTTTGTCTTAAAAATGCAAGCAATCCTGATCATGTAGAACTATTCTGGAAGAAAATGTAGCTGAATACTCGGCCATCAGATATTTTGTCAATTTTGTGCACAGAATCAGGTGTTGGAAGGAAGGCTTCACACCTTTTAATCTTCTTCTTGATTCTTTGGAATCACAGAAACTCTCAAAGAGGGGAAAAAAGTTGTTCCTGGAAGTCCACTGTCATTAAGATGCTGGACTTGAATGTGTTCCCTTAAGGTAACACAAGAGTGGCTGAAAGTGGCCAAAGAAGGGACACTTGAGATAAAAGCTGTCAGTCAGGTTGGTACCACTTCTGTGCCCCCCCACCCCCCCCACCCCACAAAGAAATTTACCTACAAGCAGACTGTGCGATCTCATTGCTTAAAAAGATTTTGTAACTGTTTTGATATACTTGTAAAGGTCTAAATAAATGAAAACTATTCAAAAGTTCTTCTGGTTTAGGTGTTGAATTTACATTGTCTTTCAACTACCATAATAATGATTGGCTTTGAGGTTGGACTTCTGTTGCTGTTTGTAGGACTTATGTAACAGTGTCCTTTTGTCTGATAAAAGTGATCCTAAATTCGAGATGTCTTCTGACTTTTCTTGAAGTTACCTATGAAGATAAACATGTCTCTTCCTTAAAATTAAATTTTGCATAATTTGAGTGACAGGGTTACAAAACACTTGCACAGGATTTCCCAGGCAAATAGAGGCAAATACGTTACGTTGTCTGAAAGCACAAGGATTTGGGATCTATTAATCTTTGCAGGTTACATTAACTGAACAGGGGATGCATAATGACGGTCCAGTATTCCTGGATGTTTTGAGTACTAACTATACCTATGCAGTAGAGATCAGTTTCACTGTGCACATAATTTGGTAACAAGCAGTCAGTTAGATGCTATTCCTTTTTCTGCTTCTGTATACTTAGAAACTTCAGATGGAAAAATGCTGTCATCAAATTCCACTTGTACCAGTATTTTTCAAGCACATTTGTTGTCTGAAATCTTCAAAAATACAGCAGTTCTGTACAATGGTAATGGAGACTGCTTTTCTGCCTTTGTTTTGGTGCAGTAGAATTTTCTACTTTGCTTGCTGTAACACATTCCAGGCCTGTAGAAGTGATATATTTTCCCAGAATGAATACAATTGTATTCTAAAAAAATTCATCCATTGTTGAAATCTTTATTTTTTAAAAAAATTCCTCTTCTACCATGACTAAGGAGAGAGAATTTTGTTTTAACAACTATTTAATGAAAATATTTTGCTTTCCCTGCTGGGAATTTCTCATTTCATATGTAGGCAAGTAAATACACTCATTTTAGTTCCATCTTACTACAGTTAGCTTTCTGTTACTTTGCCGTGTGCATTTATAGTATATAATTTCTTCTTTTGGCTAAATATTCCTGTAAATAGATGTTCTAATAACTCCTATTAAAAGCAATGTAGTTAGTTGCACTTCTGCATTTCTCTTGTAGACAGTTTTTCATGTTTTCATACTCAAAATCCTCAACACTGCAGGCATTTCAAGGGTAACAGGGATACTATTATTCTGTCTATGCTGTTAGCAAAGTACTAGTAAATAAAATAGAACAAAGCAGAGAGAAATTTTCTGCACACCGTTTATCAGATGAACCTTCTTGGTTTTTTATTTGCAGAATTCCATGTTGGCCTTCAGGTATTTTTCTGTGAACTTTTCCTATTCTTGATACTTAAAACAAGTAAATTGTTTGTCAAAACCTAGTTGTACATTGACTGAAACTATTTACTGGTTTATGTTGTGGCTTTTAAATTTTAAAAGTAAAGAACTGCCTTGAAAACTAAATACAATTCACAAAAGCTGTCTTACGTTTTCTGTAAAAAATTAGCTCAACTAAAAAACGTCTTTTTTCTTTTAATTCAGCTGGTGAACTCATTCACACAGCTGTAGCTATGCCTGATTACCCAGATAAATATGAGTGAAAGGTAATGAAAGTTGAATTTGTCTCCATGTAAACTGATATTTTCATACACAGCTACTAATGCAATCGCCTCCTCTTTTCCAAAGTTTCCTCTCTTTTTCCTTTTTATTTATTTTGTAAATAAAATTCACCAGTTGCTTTTGCCTAACAGAAGACTTCTACAATTTGCTGCCTCTGTATTGCCTGGAAGGAGACAAGTCTCTTGCACTCTGCTCAAATGAATGCTTGAAGCATTTTTAAGTAATACATTGTCAGGTTACTTTCCCTTGCAGCTCAGTTAAGATTTTCAGTTTCAAGAAAAATAAAAGGGCTAATTACTGAAAGGCACATTTATTTAGTATGTTTTTACTGGTATGCAAATTTTAGACCCAGTATTTGGAGAACCCTGGACTCACTTACCTTTTGGTCCTTCCAGCATGGTTCACAAGATAACATTCATGTATCACTATAGGTATGTCAGTGTTTATAGATATGTATCTCTACAAAGATACCTGTTGAGCATTAAAAGCTTAAGTCTGTATCTTTAGCTATTTTCTGATGAGTTGCCTGCTTCAGCATTACAGATTAGCAGGTTGGAAAAGAAGGGAAAAATGCTTTCAAGGTGTCTAGTACTTGCTGGAAATTAAATAGCTATTTTTTTATTTTGCTTTCATAAAGTCAGTCATAGTTGATTTTGTTAACTACTTATTTTGGATTCATATAAAAAGCGCTGTGTTTGAGGTGAAAAGAATACTACACTTGAAGGATTTTCATAGTTAGAAACCAGAACATTTACACATGTTCAATTTAATTTTTTGTTAGAATTTGAGGAGGGAAACACCATTGCATTCGATCCGCAAAGATTTGTCCAAATTTGTAATTGCAAAAGGATTTTAAGTGAAAGCTTTTAATCCAAGTGAACTACTTGTATTAATGCATACAAGTACCTAATGAAAGAATACTGATCAGCTTTCAGTTGGTAAAATGGATAAGTAGAAATCAACTAGCATGCTAAAAGATTCAGGTTGAAGCTAATTACAGTGCAAAATAGTTTGATAAAATTTTAATACTGAGTTTTGGTATTTTAATAGGCTCTTGTGTAATATTCAAACAGCTGAGCACAAGTAAGTAAATGCTAGTGGGAAAATATTCTATTATGTAAAATAAAACCATATTTTAACTAGCTTATTTGCTAAAAGCTACCATTTTCTAGAAGTTGAATCTTTTTTGTATTTTACAAAATGTTATCGTTTTATGTGTGTTACTGAGGAACAAATCAACTTTAAATGTTTGTGTTTTCTGTCATATTAAGGTGCATTTTTACCATACTGGTGTAGCAAGCTCTTCCTAATTTCATCTGAATGCTTATCACATGCTTCTGGCAACGTATGCTTAGGCAGGAGAGATTTTGACGAGAAAGCATGTGATTGCATGTTTAACAAGTCTTCAAACTTTGTTTTGAATTTCACCTTTAAAACAAAAAGCATTGAAGTAGGCCTATTGTTTGAATTACTCTCCTCCATTAAGTACATGAATCTTTACCCCTCCAGGCTATGTTCATTTGCATTTTATCTCTGCCACTCTTCCACACTTTTATTTCACTCTTGACCCTGTTTCTAGGAGATGTGCGAGTAAGAAGTCGGGCAGGATTTGAAACAGAGAGAAGAGGTTCTCATCCATACATTGATTTCCGTATTTTTCACTGTAAGTATTTAAAAGCAGATAAATTACAAATAAACAAAGGCTTCCATCAATTTTAACTACTGAGCCTCTAAAAGATAGCAGCTTCTTATAGCAAGAAAATCCTTCATGCTAGCTCTTTACCAAAAATAGAGGAAAACAATCTTCACTGCTAAATTTTCGTTTTAGAAAATTTAGTTTAAACTCATGGAATTTAAACCTGAATCCCTATGAAAATGAAGACTGTCATATACCCAGCTACTGGTGTGTGTGCTGAGTGCTCACTTGGCAGACACAATCAGTTGAGGAGAATAGTTTCCTGCTTTTACGCAGCAGCAGAAGGGCCCTGTCTAGGATGGTGCTTGAACAGACTTACAGTAGATATCAATATGCTTTGACCTCATCATAATCAATTAACGTTACATCTACTCAAACATGTAGCTAGGGCCTAAATTTTTGACAAATACAAATCTTAAAGTGTTACAGGAAAACAGCAGACTAAATTTTTTTTGATTATGTGTTGTAGGAATCATTCTTTCTCAGAAGTGTTGTAAGACTAGTATTTTTGTAGAGGAAAAAGTTAAATTATCGATCTATGTTATTATAACTAAATTTTTCAGTAGTTGTTGTAGTATAAAGTTTCAATAACCACCAAACCAATATGCAGTGAAAGTGCAGGGGATTTAAGTCTTAATTAAATTATGTCAATACTGAATGTATTAAGTGTCACGAAGTATCTATACCAACACTGTATCAGCACAGTTCCAAGTATTCTGAATGCAATGGAGAGATTTAGAAAAGCTGATTTCATGGTAACAAGTGTGGTTGTTGTAATTACCTTATTAACAAAAATGAGTGGCAGAAACTGGTCTTACCTTCTGATCATAACTGAAGTTACTCTTTTAAAAAAGTAGATCACATTTAAAACCCTTAAACTCTTAGTTTCATTCAAAAGTTTCATAAAAATAGGTGAGAAAACAAAGTTTGAAGAGTGCTATATTGATTTTTCCAACAAAGATGATAAGAATTTCATCTCAAGTCCTGATTGAGTATAATAAATTCTTTAGAAATAGCATGCAACTTACGAAGTACATAACTGTCTCTGTGTATGTATATATATGTGTGGCATTTCATGCTGATAGGGGAAAATACTAACAGAAGTAGTAAAAGAACTACCACTTAAAAGGCAGTCAACATATGATATTATTGCTGTTGTCAAATTGACTATTTTCTGTGGTCCTCATCACACTGTTTCTTTCCATCCTGATGATTGTGCATCAGGCAGATCATGACTAATCAGGAAGAGGATTTTCACACCCTTTCTTCTTGCCCCTGCTTGTTCAGGCACAGGCACCAGCTTTTAGCAACATCACCTGTGGTGTCTGATGACAGCAAAGAATGTTGCTAGGAGGCTTAAAAAATTCTTTGGCTATAGCTTCCCTCTCAAGTCAGCTGCTGTGGCAGTTTTCAGAGTTGCCATTGTAGCCAGATTTTTTGCACTTCAGAATTGTAGCCTGTTGCAGGGTTGCTCTTCCACTTCAGGCTCCTGCTGTGGAGTTTCTTTCAAAGTCAGTAAGGAATTCAGAGCCATCTCTTAGTATATCACTAGGTTATCTATTAATTAACATAATTGTGGGCTTTTATTAATCAGTAAAATATATTCTTTTTCTCTGCAATGCTAATTGAGTCCTGATCAATGTTTCCTTAATTGTTTTAAGCAAAAGAGATTTAGTATGATACTGTGAGACTGCAAGTAGAGAGAAGTTGTGGGGATCAGACATGACTTATTTTTTAGGGTATTCTCCCTGCCCTCTCCCAGTAACTCCAGAAGGATTTGATTTTGCCACATTGAGCTACATGACTGAAAAATGTTCACCCTTATGAGCAATAGCATGTGAGAGGAGCCAGCCAGCTCTTCTTTCTTGAGGCAAAGACTGAACTGAAAAGGGTCTCTTCAGGAGCCAAAGCTAACTAAACCATCTGAATGCTGGCTTTTTTTTTTTTTCCCTCCCCACCACAGCTATGTCCTGAACATCAGTAATGCATGGATATGCTTCCTTCATCATGTTTGTATAGTTTCAGTGTAATTTTCTGCCATCCACTAACTTTATTCTGTGGTACTAAATATGTTGCAAAGATCATGGCTTACCTGTTTTGCAGATGTTGTATATACTGGCTGTCAGTCACTGTGTGGAACCATTATTGCTGTTTTGTATTTTTCTTAGCTAATTTTTGTTGTTCAACATTTTCTTTTTGTGTCAATGATGTTTTGAGAAGTTGAATGTCCTTCAGGAGGTCCATCTGATAATCTGCTGACCAGTTCTCTTTTCCTATATGTTATTGATAAGCTCTTAACCCTGTACTTTATTGGTAGGTTTGAAGAATACTGAATTTTAAATGCTTTATTCTGTTTTCAGGAAGCTACTGTTGTATTTATTTTAAATAGTCACTTCTGTTTCATAACGCTGTTTTAACTTGCAACTTCATCTGGTGTTGCTGAAGGAAAATTTTTAGCACTTACTTCTTAAGACCACTTCTGGATCTTCTTAAGCATTACAAGCTCAGCCTCTGCATCCTCATCCCACAGTTCTGTAATTGCCACATGACTATGCGAGTTTTTACCTTGGCTAGAAGTGTTCTCAACAGTAACTTTTTTCTAGGAAATTCAATTTGAGGAAAGATTGTTGAAAAAATATCTTTATTGTTATTGTTAGAGTTGGTGGTATGGGAGTCATCTGAGAGTTGTTAAATTCAGGATTTGACTGGTGATCAAGCTAAGTTTGTTGGGTGGTAGTTTTCCTTCTATATTACCTGTTGTTCAGGAAGTCACCTTTTTATAGGTAATTGCAGGAACTAGCCGGGAGGAGTAGCTTAATTAATACATTTTTGTTTGAATAAGACTGCTTCCTGATTAGTGGGGAAAGACAGGATTGTATTCCTCGCATTGGTTGGCAATTTGTTAATGCTGAATCATCAATTAGCAGCTTTTCTGTTACTGTGATCTGTGATTATGCCTATGTAGGACCATGGGCATAAACTCAGAAAGCAACTCAAAGCCACCATTTCTGGGAAGGAGAGAACAGGCACACAACTTTCTTCCTCTGAAGTAAATTTTGGCCTTAAATATAATGGTTGTTCAGTGGATGTACATAAATCACAGTTGCACATTAAAATGCCTGCGCTGTAAAGTTTTATTGAATTGACTGTGGAACTTTTCACTCCACATGTTACAAGGGGGAAGTTTTGCAGTTCACTGTGACAATGCAGCATGTACTGTTTGATTTTCAGGGAAGTTATTGAAAAAGTGATTTTAGTGGTGTTAACTACCCTTGCTGTCTGCTGGTTTACAAATAGGCTACAGTTAACATGATTACTCTTAAATTTTTTTTATGTTACTTGAGACAGTAATTCCATCTGCAGTGTTGACAGAATGTGTTGAGAAAAGCTAATGCAAAACAGAATCTTTGGTAGAAGAATTGGTAAATGACAGTATAAAAATATTCCCTTTTTCAGAAATAGTAAACCAGCAATAAATTTTTAGGTTTTGTTTTCTTGCTGTTGAGAGGTTGTCAGTAATACCTATTTATATACATGTGTCTGTGTATGTATATACACACAGTTACAAATACACTAACAAACTTCTGTTATGTTTGTGAGGAGTTTCTAATGTGCACAAACAGGAGTATATAATGTGCCCCAGTCATTCACTGTTTAACCTGAAAAAAACACCCAAACTGTGCTCATTTGTGTACACTATGTTTTACTGAGGAAGTGAAGCCAAAAGGAATAAAGATCAAGTGAATAATTAAGATAACAGAAAAAACATTGGGAAGTGTCTTATGCAGAACAACTTAAATGAATATTTGCTTTTAAGCTTCCTTTTTAGAAAAAGGTTGTTGGATATAGTCAAAAGAAATAGATAAAAACCCAAATATTTTTGGGTTTGTGGAGGGGAAACATTTTTTTCTTTGTGCTTTTCCTGTTTTGCCTGACCCTGAGTAAGTACGATCTTGTCCAAAGGTTTTTAGAGTTCTCTTGAGCCACTCTCATCTGAGCATGCTTCTGTGGGCACATAGTGATGTAGTGATGTTGCCAACACATGGAGCTCTATTTTGTGTTTTACAGATAAGGGAATATGTCACATATGTGAGTTAAAATATCTTGGAAAGAAGGAAGGAATTTTTGAGTTATTCGGTATGTGTCTGTTGACATTCAGGAATGGCTCAATTTAAAAGCAGATAGATGCTTACATACGGAATAGTGCTCCATATAGGAGAGAAAATAATGTGATTTGAACTTAAGACTTCACTGAGACTTAGACGGTTCTTCTCAGTTGTATATGAAGCCTTTGTGGTGGGAAAAGAAAGGGAGACTTTTATAGGTAATGGATAAATCTAGTTCTCTTTCTTGAGAAGGCAAACACTTGAAGAAATCCCTGAGTTTATTATGCAACCTTCAGATGATTTACTTGGAAATCAGAGTTCATGTAACATATTATGTGCTACTCTGAGATCTGATGAAGATGTCAGCATCTACTGTTTGCCATGGTGTTTTTAACTGCCCAGTTTTTTGCTCACAAATTGTTGGAAAAGCTCTATGTTAAACAGTGAATTTAGATTCCCCTTGCTGAGAGGCCAGAAGTTAAAGAAGAGAGTGGAGTGCAAATCTAAATTGATGGCTTTAAACAATTTGCAAAATCCTTGTGTAATAACAGCCCTGTGCTTTTGATGATAGCATCTAGAGATAAAATGAGCACGGTCCAGGTGAATTTGAATGCCCTTTTTTGTTTCAAGAAAACAGAGGAATTACCAAGCTGAATATGGTTAAAAGTCTTGTTCAACAGTGTACTGTGAAAAAGGGTGAGTTTCACAACCATGCAAGAAGATTTCCCTGTGGTCATAGACTGAATGAATTGTTTCCCTAAGAAAATATCGGCACTGAGGAGTAAAAAGCTTCTACTCAAGATAATTCTCCAAAAGCTGCCTTTCTGTGAAGGACGGGATTCTGAAATTGTCTTCAAATTA